GCCCCGTGCCACGGCAGGGGGGCGGGGGGGGGCAGGGGCCCCCTGCAGCTGAGGCGTGACTCTATCAATAGCATTGTGGTCGTGCGTGCGCCGGACCCACCAATATGACGATCGAAAGGGGGCTCTTGTATGCGTCCTCAAATATCTTGGTTGCCACGCTGCCCTTGGCCGACTCCGCATAGCCCACCATCGCCTCGGGCGACACCACCTGGGCAGGGGGTGCGGTTCATGGTCAGCGGAGTGAGGCTGTCTGGCTGAAGAGGGTTGGTGTGGGGGCGATAGGCGGAAGCGAGGGGTCTGAGGTTGAGACGTCAAATTGCCGCTAGCCTCACTGTATAATGCACGCATAATTCTCATGCTTTTGCAGTATCCTGCTGTTGAATGCATGTTGCCCACCTTGACAAAGGGGAAGCCGCTCTCAATGGCGGCGGTGGCAGCGAGCGCGGTCGTGCCCGCGCCGCCGGGACCCTCCAGCAGCACCGACAGCAGCGAGGTCTTGTCGCTGTGCTGCACCTGTGTTGTGCAGGCCGCGTACAAGGAGGGGAGCATAAGTCATCAGTGTGTGTGGGGGACCGTACTTGTGCGTGCACGCGCGCGCGTGTGTGTGTGTGTGTGAATGTGAGTGTGTATGTGTGTACATGTGCTTACAATGCACGCGTGTAATTATGTAGCGACTTTGAAGGGTGTGGTAAGTTTCACATATATGTTTGCCAGTGCAAGAGCCACCACGGCACTCACTGCTGCGCAGCCCCACAGTATTTAGACAAGGTGCCAGCACGCCAGCAGATGAAGAAACCCAGCCACGCGCCCCCCGTCCCGGCCCCGCCCGTCCCGCCGTCTGGTCCCCACCCATCCATGCAGGGATGCCCCTCCTACCGCCACAGTAGGCCGCTCAACTCAAACAGGCGCCCCGCCCCCCAAGGGCACCCCACCCCAAAGGGCACCCCACCCCAAAGGGGACGCGGACACCTCAAAGAGGACGCCCACCTGGTTCACCAGCGTCCTGAGGGTCTGCTGCAGGTGCTTGAACGAATCCCCGTAATCGATGATGCCGTGGCGGCGGGACAGCTCCAGGCTCTCGGTGTTGGAGCCAAAGGCGGGCGTGACTTCGTTCAGCGCCGCGTTGAAGTCGGCCATGGTCACCTTGAGGCAGATGGAGGGGCAGATGGAGGGCGGCAGGGGCAGGGTGAGGCTGGCAGTCGAAATAGAAGTCGTGTTGTGTGAAGTGTGATTTTGATTGTGGTCGTGGGTGTTATTGTGATTGTGTGTGTGTGTGTGTGTGTCACGAGAGTGGCCTTAGAACCCCAGCAGGGACTGCCAAAACTCCCCTTTCAATGGCTTCAGCCCAGAAACATGCATTTGCAACTGGATGTTATTGTCTGCGCGCACTCACAGTAAACATGCACGCTGCAACGCGCGCTCGCACACGCGCGTGCACACGAATGCAGACACACACAAACACACACACATGCACACACACGCACAAAACACGTACGACCCGCCCCCGACCTTGATGTTCTCCTCGTCCAGGGGCTTGTGCAAGTCGTTGATGTCGACGTTGCGGTTCAGCGCGAACGACGCCGCGCTCTTGACCAGCCCCTCCAGCTCAGCGCCGCTGAAGTTCTTGGTCACCTCCGCCAGCTTGGCCAGGTCAACGTCCGGCGACAGGAACGAGTTGGCCGCCATCTGGGGGTTATTGGGGAGCATGCCGCATGTGAGTGTTTAAACACGTGGGTGCATGCGTGGCTGCGCGTGCGTTGTGTGCGTGAGGGGGGGGGGCAGGGTACGCTGTGTTCAGGTCCCAATTGATGGTGGAGAGCTGGTGAGACCGGGGTGAGATGCATGAATTAAGAAAGCACATACGCATGCATGCGCTTTCACACACACACACACATGCACACGCACACACGCGCTTTCACACACACACACACACACACACACACACACACACACACACACACACACACAAACACACACACAAACACACACGCACGCATGCACGCGCACGCGCGTGCACACACACACTCACCCACCCACCCACACACACAGAAACAACACATAAAACTGGCACACACACGTGCACACCTGCCCAAGCGCACTCCCGGCACCCTGTTGGGCCCGTCGTCCCCACCTTGTTGGTGTGGATCTTGAGGATCTGGAACCGCCCCTTCTCATCCGCCAGGCCGATCTCAATCTGGACCTCCAGGCGGCCGGGCCGCAGCATCGCCTCATCCAGCATGTCGCGCCTAAACAGAGC